TGTGTGTGTGTGTGTGTAGCTATAGCCTGCAGGAAAGCAGAGGCATTGTTAACAGCTACAGTAGGGAAAGCCTCCAGACAAAACTCAGTGACCCCTAGTAAGAGAGTGGACTGGTTCCAGGTGCTTTCCTAAACTCCAGATTTTTCCAACAGCTTTTGGCTGCAGTTCCCCGCTCAGGCACTGCAGAGTGCTTATCGGGATCTTAGAGTCTGAGGCGAATGTTTGTAAGCAAAAAGAGTGCAGTGTCACCTAGATATCTTTATTAGCTGGCTTGGGCTCTCTGCGGGAGTATTTGGAAACGTTAGATGCTATCCACATGCCCGTAGGTGTAATATGAGAGCAATGATCTTCGAAGGATATAGATAGCCAAAATATGAACTATTAAAAAGTGAATCAGGTCCTTGCTTACGTGCTCAAGTGCCCCCTGAGAAGTTACTTTGAGTCGGCAGCCAAGTAACCTTATGGTTTGTAGACAAGATGTCTTTCACACTGGGGGAGGTTGGACGATGTCAGCATCAGTGTTTTTAATCCTGTCCAAAACACATCTGGGGCTGATTTCACTTGTTCATCCTTGGCTAAAATAATTCCCATTGGTCAAAGAAAGTTGTGTTTTATCCATGCTAGCTGCGTGGCTCTGTGGCTCTGTGGATGTCAATGTGGGTCTGTCGATCCAGAATTTTGTTCCAGACTAAAATATCTCAAAAATGATCGGATGGATTGCTATCAAGTTTGATATATGGCATTCATGGTCTCCAGAGCCGACTTTAATTATCCTCCTTGAATTGTCCTATAGCATCAGCATGATGTTTACATTTGTGATTTATAAAGATCTTAAATATCCGTAGAAGAGTTCAGTTGACTTTGGTGATCCCTTATGACCAAATACCTGCAAAACTAATGACATCTCCATCAGTTGCTGTTGTTTAGCAGGTACTATTGCCATGTGCATCATCTTGGTTAGCATACCATTGCATGTTGGCATAGTCAGGTGTACATTTTAGCATGCGGATGTTCACATTTTACTCAAAGCACAGCTGTGTTTAAGCCTTACAGGGCTGCTACCATCGCTGCAGACCCTTAGTCTTGTTGAGTGTATTAAAAGTTGTCTAACTGTTTGTTACTGGGTTTCTTCAGTCCTTTTCTTATTATAAAATTAGATATTTTATAAGAAAAAGCAATAGAAGTTATTTGCAACTGTCTGCCCTAATGATTTGACAGTAAACAAATGAGATTCAGAAAGAGTAATACAGTAATACCAACATAAAATTTAAGAATTAGATAAGCCACTTGTGAGAAAAAATAAACTTTTCTCACAATATGCTGTCAATTACAACCAACTCATGTAATTTGGCAATGGCTTAAGAACCATTCAGAATAGTTAGTTTAGTTAGAAAGTTGCAGGGCAATATTTCATTATCTGCCTCCCCCTGCCCATAATAAGTATTCCATTAGAAAGTATTGTTATTCATAATTGTAACATGTAGGTGAAGTCTTGGTTACTGAGTGAACAAACATTACCCCAAGCTGGAATTCTTCAGCAAGGCAGTCAACAGAGACTGATAAGAGGAATAAAAAATGTGGTCACATTTTTGCTTCTAAACTGAATGACACTATTAATAGAGCTGGGGGTGCATTTTGCAGATGTGTGATACTTTCTCATCTCCTGCTTCCTGCTTCAGTGGAAATAGGGAGGAAGTTGAGGCTAGTTGGCTGAGACGTGTTGGTGGAGCCACGTGACCAGAAATGAGATATATGCTGAGA